GTGGCTGCACGAACTAAAAATCGAGGAAGTGACCTACCTGCGCTATCAATCGATAATGGGAGCTATGCTACCAGTTTCTTCGCTCTCTGAGCAGCGGCGCCTGCCCAACGCGACTTTAAAGAGGGGCATCCATGGCGTCCACCCAAACGTCGTGTTTTCCTTTCCGTCGACGTTCTTTTTTTGTGTAACACAATTATATATATGCTGCAGTTACGTGTTCTGCTCGCTGATATACAGCCTCCTTCCGAATTTCCTCAATTTTTCGTTCGACTTCCGCCGCTTGGCATCGGGCTCTTGCGCGTGCGCAGAATTCGCTTCTCGGAAAAGGTCCATTGAGATTAATCAAAACAACATAGCGAAGAACGTCGCGCGCAAGGAACACCGCGGTAGTCACGTCTCGTGTGTCTCTCGCGCTAGGCACACGCGGTGCTGTTGTAAGTAACACCACCTACACCAGTGCCCTTTTTCCACGCTCATGAACGTTGACAAACTCGCAATATCTCGTTCACGTTGTTAGACGATCTAGGCAGCATACTGAGACGACAGTGACGACAGGCTAACCGGTACAACTGCTCGCCCTCAGAATCTGAGAAGCAATGCAAGGTGCGCGTAATTCGTTAGGCCGTTGTCACGGTTTTCCATGCATGCGGCCCTTTCCATGCTCCTACTTACGTGGCTGCAGTCAAAACGAACGCAGCTTCCGTCGCTTTAACTCAATTGCCATTTCGCCAACCGCCGACAGCATGCAATCACGGAAGTCACAAGTGACGAGCAGAAATCAGAAAACGATCTCTTTTGGTCAGCCCATTGTGCTCCCTGTTTTCTGTTCCCTGAAAGTCCAGCGGGACTGGTTTAAGCCTATAGCTTTCCACGTCAACTATTTTGCTTGATCTGGCTTGATTTGTTTGTTGGCGCGCGTTGATTCTAAAGAAGGATGTTAGTTTTCGTAAAAGAGGCCCCGCTGCTCCCTGAATTGTGCAACCGTCGTCATTACGATCATGTTTTGAATACAAAGAATATACCTACTAATAAAAAGGAACCTGCAAGCCGTTCGGCTGGAGGCAAAAAGGAGTTCGCCTGGCATTAAGTACGTCCCCGTCATTTCGCCTCACAAGACAAGTAGCTCCAAAGTTTGACAGCACACCTTGCCTGCCAAAACGAATAGGTTCAGTTTGTGTTTGAATTATGCGTCTTGACGGCCACCCACCTTGCTGGCAGTTTCCATGCGAGAAAAGAAAAATATCTAGAAAGCTTAAAGGGCTGCACGTTTATTTTGTTCATTGTATAGTCATCTATACCTCATTCCAGCACGTCCAGACGCAGCCGATGCTAGAAGCGTGAGTATGTGGCCCTCCGCAGTGCTTGCACTGCACGAGCGCCCGCATTTGTAGCATGGGATGCGTCTGGGCTTAGGCTGAAACGAAGTATAGGTCGCATTTTACAGCACATCGACAAACGCTAAGCTCGTGCGTGACGGAGCGCTAGAACACCGCTTTCATGGTCGCATCTTGCGAGCGTTACAGGTTGCTTTAGACGGGGGTGGAATAGCAGACTGACGCAGGCGATTGCGGACGCCGACGCACCGCTTTCACGGCACCTCCTCAAGGGCTGTTTATGGTCCAGCGTCGACGAACGCAACGCGCGCCGGCGCAGACCGACGTTCGTCGGCCACTGCGCCACGTCCCGCCGCATGAGAAGCGCCCGAACGACCGTGTTTACTGTCTAGTGTAGTGCAGCGCGGTGAAGCGCGCCCAGACAAACTGCCTCACTTTGCGCATAAGCGTCTCCGTGGCAACCGCATCGTCTCAACTTCACCGTATTTCCGCTTTCTGGTCGTTATTAATTCGGCGATCAGTCGGTGTGGTTCGTCCTAGAGTCTTTACTTCGTACACATCGTGTAGTGAAGCGTCAAAACAGCGATTCGGGGAAGAGGTTAGCAGTTCGAAAACAAACAAATGATGTGGGATAACGAGTGCAAACAAGCATTTATCTTCTACGAAATTTCGTTCAAATGTCGACCGAAGAACTAAAAAATCCCATCATTGCATTCGTCCAAAATAGGCACTTGGCAGGTTCGTTGGGGTCGTGCTAAGCGAAGCCGATGATTGCGCCTGGATGCTTCGATGAAATCTATGCACTCAAAATTCCATAGTGACCTCTTTCTTACAGATGACCAGTGTGTTGTCATCATAGTACACTTTCACGATGACTTAAGAAACTGACACTGAAAAGTGCGGACGATGCCTAAATCACGTAATGTACGTATTGGAAATTGTTGCGAACTTTACAGAGCTCATACAAACACTACAGGATCCAGCCGAATCTACATCGCGTACCGCTACTATTGTTTACAAGCTGAGACACCCCAGTTGAAAATTTCTGGACGGCTAAGTAGTGCAGATGTTTCACTGGGTACTCTGTTCCCGTACATTCGGCGGCGCTTGTGTTCTTTTTTTTCGGACTGGAGCGGCCTCCGGTGCGTACGACTAGCACGAGATCATATACTATATAGCACACACATTAGGTTATCCTTAACTCTACCTTTGGCGCCTCATCGAGCTTTCAGCTTTTTCCAGCACTTTACCGTCACCGGCTCGTTAGCCGTATAGGCCTAACGAGGCTCGGAGGTAGCGCATACTTGGAGCAGTAGGAGTCTACGCACACAGTCGCACAGTCGAGCGCTCGAACGGTGAATATGCACACCAATGCGGGAACACAAGAACATCACACGACACACGGTTAGAACGGTAGGTTAAGATATCAGAAATTAGCGTCACACACACTCCTACTGGCCCTGACACAAAAATCCCGAATTGAGCACTCGCACGACGGTATCTGGGATAGTCAACGTCGCCGCTCTACGCTCGTCGACGACGCGAATAGAGCAAGCTCGCTTCCGTTGTGAGCTACGTCGAGGTGCGCTGAGCTGCGCTGCGCTACGTCCCGTTGCGCATGATGACGTAGTATAGACCCCCGTTTGAAGCTAGCGCTAATCAAAGCAATAGGCGCGTGCACTCGTGGACCTTACGACCGAGTAAAAACAGCCCTTTACGGGCGTTGTAAACGACGACAGATGGTGGTGCAATTGCAGACGATCCCGGAGGCTGCCGCGAGTCTGCTTGCACGACTAGCAGGCGGTGTCAGACGCCAGAATAGACGCACCTGACGTCGTGACAGGGAGACACCGGGCTTGCGAGCGTGTTCTGCCGAGCAGACAACCTAATCTAGTATTAATGGGCGGGGCCACTGATCTGTGGGCGGAGCATAGAGCGGGCCGTGACCTCCACCTAAATTGCATCTAATGGCGCAAATGTTGTGCACACTTTTTAGAGCGCAGCTCTTAGGGGCCCGTTTCCGGCTTGAGCGGCGTCGCCGTCGGCGTCGGCGTAACCAAGGTAACCCCAAGGTCACGTGACCCCCCAAGGTCATCCCAAGGCCACCGCACGGTCACGTGACCACCAAGGTCATCCCAAGGCCACGTGACCCCCAAGGTCACATGACCCCCAGAGGTCACGTGACCACCAAGATCACGTGACACCCAAAGTCACGTGACTCCCCAAGACACGTGACCCCTCCCCCGAGGTCACGTGACCCCCCGATGACGTCATCGTCACTGATGACGCCATCAGTGACGTCACTGATGACGTCACCGTCATCCGCATTGTCATCGTCATCATCACTGATGACGATGCGATGACGTCATCGCCACTAATGACGTCACCGTCATCCGCGTCATCGTCACTGATGACGTCACCGTCATCCGCAACGTCATCGTCATCATCACTGATGACGATGCGATGACGTCATCGTTACTAACGACGTCGTCAGTGACGTCACTGATGACGTCACCGGCATCCGCATCGTCATCGTCATCATCGCTGATGACGTCATCAGTAACGTCACTTATGACGTCACCGGCATCCTCATCGTCATCGTCATCATCACTGATGACGTCATCGGTATCCGCATCGTTATCATCACTGATGACGTCATTGGCATCGTCACGTGACCCCCCCCCAGTACCCTTCCCTTCTCCTCCTCAAGAGCTGCGCTCAAATTCGGCGTTACAGAGAGTTGTAAACGGCTTTCAAGTTTTTAGAGCGCAGCTCTTAGGGGCCCGTTCCCGGCTTGAGCGGCGTCGCCGTCGGCGTCGGCGTCGGCGTAACCAAGGTCATCCCAAGGTCACGTGACCCCTCCCAAGGTCATCTCAAGGTCACGTGACCCCACGTGACCCCCTGAAGGTCACGTGACCCCTTCCAAGGTCATCCCAAGGTCACGTGACCCCCAAGTCACGTGACCCCTCTGAGGTCACGTGACCCCCGAGGTCACGTGGTCGCCTCCCCAAGGTCACGTGACCCCCAAGGTCACGTGACCCCTTCCAAGGTCATCTCAAGGTCACGTGACCCCACGTGACCCCCAGGTCACGTGACCCCTCTGAGGTCACGTGACCCCTCTGAGGTCACGTGACCCCTCTGAGGTCACGTGACCCCCCGAGGTCACGTGACCCCTCCAGGTCACGTGACCCCAAGGTCACGTGGGGGTCACCTTTGGGGTCACGTGGCCTTGAGGTCACCCCCAGGTCACGCCTCCCCGAGGTCACGTGACCCCCTCCCCGAAGTCACGTGACACCCCCCCCCGGAGCATATTAAAGAATGAGGGGAGGAGGAGGAGAAGGGGGAGGGGTGTACCCTCCCCTCAGTACCCTTCACTCCTCCTCCTCAAGAGCTGCGCTCCAATTCGGCGTTACAGGGATTTGTAAACGGCTTTCACTTTTTTTTTCCTTGAAGAAAGTACGTGTGCCATTTAGGTCCCTTCAACATTTTTTATTAAGTATTTTTTTTTATAATGGGCGTGTTTCAAAGTCATGATTATTTCCTTTGTTTTAATGGCTTGATATTACATAAATACAGTCAGTTTTCCAGTCATTAAATAAATCATGTGATAATATTGATGCGCGATAATAATTGCATATTTCACGTTTATTCCCTCCCATGCTACAGTACATCGCATACGTGGTCTACAACGACCAGGTACCGAATGAGTTCAGAGGCACAAGGGGGGGTCATTCAAAAGGTAATACATTATGGCAAACTTGTTTTGATGTTTTCGATATTTGAGCCTATAAACAATTAGTAAGTACTTGACTTTCAGGCTAGATTTACGTAGCATTATCATATTTACCCATTTAGCACTCCATATTAAAGCATAGTTCATTGCTTATCAAATTTGAGGAGCTTCGAGTAGTTGTCCTTGAACATTAGATCGCCTCACACTTGCTGAGTGTGTCGAATGTTCAGATCTTTCTAAAAGCAAGACAGTGCGGTTGGGGAAAAAACGCAAGATGCCTTCAAGTAACTTTTTTTTTTCAGAATTGATTGATTCTTTAATTTGTAGAATGACTGATTAAATGCATAATAAGTGAAAGGATGTATAATTACCTGATTGGTTGATTAATTGATTGCGATACTGTTTAGATGATTGCTCGAAATGTAGATTGATTTATCATCGCAAAATCAGTAGGTCGATAGGTTGATAAGAATCCTGTAGCATATCAGCTTGACTCTGGCTCTTCTTAGGTAGTGCACCCAGAATTCTGTCGGTGTTCACCTGCTGTTATCAGTGTTATTGGGGAAGAGGGTGTATTTTAAAAATTTGGATCCCCAAGAAAACAAAGCAGTATTTCGAATATTTAAGTGCACCTTGTTTTGTTCTGTTTTTTTTTTTGTTTTTTTTTGTGCAGGAGTTTTTATGGTTGGACCGACCACCTCTGTCTGGCTGCAGCACAGCGTACCGAGGTTCCCCACGAAGCTTCACCAAGGGTATTACGAATATCCCGAAAGCGGTCGAGAAAACGCCCAGCTCTTTCTCTGCCTCACCGTTAACACCAAGTCGACGGCCGACATCATTGGTACGAGTCGTCTGAATGAAACAAAATTACCTAATCGAAAAAGCAAACATTTCGTTCCTATCCCGTACTATTGTAGCAGTGGCAGAGATAACAGAAAGTGTGTCTCGAGGGTGCTGACATCGGCGTGCGTAGCGTCTCCGAAATAAAGCCGTGCCGAAGCTGGCACTTCAGCGGGAAATGAACATCAAGTTCCCCTCAACAAACGTCAGTACACTAAAAATATAGAGCCATTATAGAGTCATTGTAAGAAATATAAAATATGCTCAAAAGGCATATGCTTAGTTTAATATTAAACATGTACTTTTAGTTTGTACTATCGCGGGCAATTTGAACTGAAGCAGCCTTTCATTCATCTTCCACGTGCCTGCCAGTCTTTGAGAGAGTTGTGGTTCAAACTAGGAATGTAATGCGAGTTGTGGTTCAAACTAGGAATGTAATGCGGCATAGACCACCAATACTTTGAGACGTTTGACAAATTAAGAATATTAGAGCGTGTGTTGAGCATAGACGCAAAAAAAAAAAAATGGCGGATCTGGTGTTTGAACTCATAATATCTGCGGGAATACGCTTTACTTACCAGACTGGACATCGCTAAATTCCAATATGCACTAAATACGAGTTAAAGTACTTTGGATGCTTAAGATATTGAAAATATATTCAGCACGCATTTTAAGCGTTAGTATACGTTTAGTATGTTGTACTTTACGAAGGTTAAATACCAATGAGTTAAGGACACCAGCTCTTACCCTGCTATTTCGCAACTCCCCGTATCCTTCCAAGCAGGTGTTTGTTCTCTTCCTCCCTTGCCTACGGAACACTTCCTACCATTTCTGTGGAGCGCGCTACACCAAACACCTTCTAGACAAACGCCCAGTGATACAGTGTCGCTTCACTATTCTTGACTACGTTATGACGAATTGCGTCGTGTTGCAAGCGCGAGTTCTCGAGACCCCCGTGCTCCTCACTAAGCTTGGCAACCAAACCAAGAGTAGCTTGGCACGCGGCGTACGGAGCACGGAAGTGCAGGGGACTCGAGGTTGGGTCACTTTGTCCGTGTTCCATATTCGCTCGGTCTCCCTCCAAAGTAAAGGTCTTGCACACAGGCGTTTGAAAATTCATTCACACCCAGCGTCTTTCTATGTGCGTTTTCCGTGATGTGAACCAGCCGAACGCTAACGCGCTTGTGTGACGCTCTTTTGCAACGGGGAAAACCACTTTTGTTAATGTCAAGTTTGGTTTTAAAGCGCAGCTCCTAGGCGCCCGTTTCCGACTTGAGCGGCGTCGCCGTCGCCGTCGGCGTAACCGCGAGGTCACGTGACCCCCCTGAGGTCACGTGACGTACCGAAGGGAGGAGGGGAACACCCTCCCTTCAGTACCGTTCCATCCTCCTTCTCGAGAGCTGCGCTCTAATTCGGCGTTACAGAGAGTTGTAAACGGCTTTCATTTTTCTTTATGCATAAAAAAACAGTCATTGTCGAGCAGTATGTTTTTTTGCTTACAGTTAAACGTCATAACGTCATAAAATCCGGCCGGTATGTGTTTCAATGCTGCAGCCTTCGCCGATGGAGCCTCGATCATCAGGAAGACAATCGTCGAGTCAAATATACAATTGTTCGCTTCAACGCTTTCTTAATACTTCGACCACTTGGCATAAAACCAGCTTGCAAGGTAGGTTGATTTAAAATTTAAATTCTGTATTGGGGGCGATTTTGCAGCTCATCACCTCCGCCTCCAGTACGCCAACGTCTACCAGAGGTATTCTGCATGGATAAACGAGAAAAACTACCCAGAAGTTTTTATGCTTCTTCGTGATGCCTACGTGAAAGGGCTGGAAAACCTTGCTAATGACACCATGTTCACCATTAAAAAGCAAAGGATACAATCAGTTGCAAAGCGCAGCACATGGCATTATGGTATGTGATCCTTTCCTTCTCGAAACGGTTATAAATATTTACTATGGCATTAAGACCACACGTAGTATAGTAAGTACGCATGAAACGCTCTCAATTAAGTGGGGATAGTTGCGTAACGGTAACGCTACTGTAAAAGTGCAAATGCGGGGCTTCATTTATGTTCTGAGCAAACGTGTTGTATTAGGGTTTCGAATGTCTACGAAAACTATATTTGGGATTTTTAGTTACGTGCGTGAACACTGCTGCATTTAAAAAGAGTGTGAACGAATTGAAGAAAGAGTAAGATAAAAGAGCTACGGCCGCGCCGTGCAAGACCTAAAATTCTTGACTAGATTGGTTTTCAAGTTTCACCGTTTAAAAATAATTAAAAGACTGGCGAATTTAATACCCTTTCATGCACGAAACATTGTGAATAATTTTTTTTCCCTTATACCATCTAGAAAACAAACGCTAGAGCACTTTTTATACAAAGTGTTCATCCGTACTACAATCTTATTAATACAGCCGAAAGGTATGAAAACATAGAAGTCGGTGTTATCTATTTTGTTTTTACAAGAACTGCATCCGAAGCAATTGGAGGTTTGATTGTAAGGAACATGGGTAAATGACTATTTATGTCTATTTACTTGTCAGATAGAATGGACCAAAATTATGTTTCAGGTGAGAACCCATGAAAGCGTTCGAAACCTCATCCAAGAACCCGTACCATATTACGACCTATAATTACTGACAACATAAGAAGGGAAGGGCGTGGCGGGTTTCGAGCATCCCGTTATCGCTCCGCAGCAAATGAGATTGCGGTGTTATCAGATAAGAGTGCCGAAAAACCGATCATGAAGCAAGAAGCGTGAATTAACATAACATGGCACACCCTGCAAACTGTCAGTAGATATGAACATCAGTCAGCAGTATGCGAAAGACTAAGGATGTTTAGAAAACGCACATAATAATACTGAATTCTCAATCAGCCATGGCTATCTCAGAAAGCTCTTGGAAGGCTTCGTTGAGCACATTCTAGTCCGAGTGTTTGACTCGCACCTATAATATTAATTATAATAAAAACAAGATTTCTTGTTTCTGAGCCCACAAAAAATCTCGCGATCTACCGAATGGTGCTAAAAAACATAACTGAAATACAATGCATAAGAGATACAAGAGAATAGATGTCATCAGTATATTTGAAAGAAGAACAGTAAGGTGTAGATCATAAAGGGTATGCCGGCGTTGTCACGCTCATAAGGAATACATCCATTCGCGTACATGGCAAATAAAAACCCCATGGCAGATAAAAGTATCAGTTAGCCTAAAGAACAGCGTTAAAATTCAGTTGTACCCTCCCTAAAGGTGACGCACAGGACATACAAGCGGGATAAATAGTTAATCTTCTATCGAAATGACACGGGTTGGAACATGGTGGTAAATACACTGGACTAAATTCATTGAATTCACCATTCCGCAAACTACTTCGTAAATAATATAAAATATCTGTACCGTCTCCTGATACACAGCTTATCCACTGGAAATCTGTAAAGCAGCGGTTCATAATGCTAGAAATAACCTTGATCAAACTCATAAGCGATTGTTGTCATTCGTTTCTATGCATGTTTCAATAACAGTAGAATGGGCAAGAGTCAAGAAATGCCAGATAACAAAGCTAAACTCCAACCGTGATATTACTAAAGAGTTATACAATTGCAGTAAGCAGTGAGATTTATTGAATCCTTTTGTTTACAATTTTGATTACTACCTGTGATTTACATCTTAACAACTCACTTTTTTGTTCTGTTTTACACTGCCACAGATTGCATTAGGCCCTCCCTATCATTGTACCACGAGGGACTGATATAATATTAAAATAAAAAAAATAAACATTTTCGACATAATCATAACACTATACCTTACCTTTAACCCTGCATTTATGGGTATAACGACATGTTTATTAAAAGAATGTGCGCTCTTGGTAGACACGCCAAGATCTCAGATAAGAGATCTCGGTGGACGGGAAACGCCACCAAGGGCGTATCGAGCTTTCCAGGTGGCACGGTAGATTTTGTTTACTTGGGGTTAACTGATTGTTGGGTTTTTATCAAGTCCAAGCGCCGAATGCAATTAATAGTAACACCGCTGACCAATTTAAGAATTGTATTCAATATTACATTAATTAAGAGGAAACATATATACATATATAGAAATCTATCTTAGTCTCATACGAGTTTTCATGTCCAGCGGATGTTGATGGATAATGTCGATGCCGCCATCGTCGTGGATTCGGTGATTATTTTCAATTTACGTCGTAGCTTGGTAAGGTTATTCAAGCCTCTAGGGCACCGCCGATCGGTATTGGCATGGCCTAGATCCGGGAGACCACCAGAGTTCTGAATCTTTATTGTTGATCGATCGTCCAGGCCACCCCAGTTCGATACACCCCCGACCTCTCCCTGTAGTCAGTCAGACTTTGTGACGATGTCACATACCTGACCGGCGATGCTGTAATTCCACACTTGTGCCCCATCTGTTCCGAGCCGCTCTTTTTATTTTTTGTTATCTTTCAGGTAATGACGGTGTTAAACAGCTTTCCAATCACCATGTAAAATTCATTTTTATTAGCTTGAAAACAAGAATATCACATACCGACTGAACGCTTAGAAAAGGCTTGACATCATAAGTAAACAAATGAATCCTTGTATCATTAACACAAAAACCAATATCATTAATAAACAAGAGGAACAAAATTGTTCCCATGATTGAGGCTTGCGGCACACTGGAGTTTGCAATAAACTCATCGGAGGGGCAACAAAACAAGTTAACAGAGGCATGACGATCACTCAGGTAACTATTACACCGCGCGCACATATTTACGGACTGGTACCATGAAGGGAACGGTTATGCAAAAATTCGTGATTAAATCGATCAAAAGCTTTGGACATATCAAATTACAGTGCATCTACGTGTCCCCCTTCTGGAAATTATTGGTGCAGAATAATTTGAGAATTAGCATACATTTGACTCTACACACATAAGACATAACATTGGTGCTTCGGTTTTTATGCCTTTCCTTTATTGTGGAAAATAGGGAATAAAGTTGCACTAAGATATTGAGGTGGGCTAGTTGGATATGCATGATGTAAAAATTAAATAGCGCAAAGGTTACACAAAGGACAAAGGACAGAACATGTAGACAGGACAAGCGCTAAACAGGATCATGAGAAGAGACACACGGAAAAGGGCCCATAGTAGAAGACAGAAATTGTACTAAGATATTGAGGTGGGCTAGTTGGATATGCATGATGTAAAAATTAAATAGCGCAAAGGTTACACAAAGGACAAAGGACAGAACATGTAGACAGGACAAGCGCTTGTCCTGTCTACATGTTCTGTCCTTTGTCCTTTGTGTAACCTTTGCGCTATTTAATTTTTACATCATAATAAAGTTGCTTTCCGCGTCTTCCTTTTTTTCCCCTTTAGCGGTTTCCGTGAGCCTCCAGTGTGTGTAAACTATGCAATCAAGCTGTGCTGTTCTGCACTGTGCTACCGCGTGAACACTCCAAATACTAGCCATGTCCCCAGAAACTGGCGTCTCCTAAGTGGATATTGAACGCTCTACACCACGTTACATGCCAGAGCGCCCGCCATACGTTCCCCGCGTTTAGACCAACTTACCGAGATAGCTTACTACCCTACCGCGCAAACCCTGATGCATAGTACAGAAGATTGGGAGCATTCACCTGCACAAAGCCGTGCAACGTGTGAAACTCGCTCCGTTCAATCGTATAATCCTACGGGATAACTTGCTCATTTTTGGGTATACCATCCATTTTCATTTCCGCGAGTAAGAAATAGGAATGTAATGATGCAGTCACGCTGCATGTTTTGCGCCGACAGCCGGTATCCACAACCTCGCCGAACTGCGCCGTTCAACGGTTGCGGCTCGACAGAGCGGCCAGGGGGGGAAATGGCGCTGCTCCAAGAGAAACATTGCAACATGTCAAACACTCTTTTGTTCCATTTGCAAGGATTTTTTCCTTGAAGAGAGACAGAGGTTAACACAACTGCTCGTCAGCACTCGCCACTGGCCTGTATATTCTCCGTCGTCTTCCTCAACCGCATTTTCACGTACCATTTCCGGCATTCCTTTCGGAGCTGCAGAAGGCGCTGCACGTTTTGCAAAAGGTCTATTAAAAGAGCAGTTATCAAACGGCCTCTTGTTGTGTGAGGCTAGGGTTGTTATTTCTAATAGATTGAAAATGAGAACGGCACAGGACCCAAGCATAAACACGATCTAACACTTGTCGTGGAAGAAGGATGAACAAAAAAGCGCAACCGAAACCTTAGTTTTTACAAACTTTCTGACTGATTGCATTAGAGGTTTCGAGCATTCGACATGTTATGAATTATATGCAGGATTTTGTGTTTTCAATAAATACGATAAACCCCCTGAAAGGAACCCCCCAGCTGGTTTTATCAAAAATCGAGAAAAACCGAAGAACCCCGAATTAGAGATTCTCGTCAATGAGAAAAACCAAAACTAAAGGGGAAAAAATCTTCAACGACAATGTTATTCTGTGTCTACCTAGAACACAGTCACATTGAATTGCCCGCCATGCTACTTCTTGCTTCGGAAACCAGGCCCCTTACGTCGTTTCCTTCTTTTATTGTTACGGGGACGTTTTCCATCTAAACAGGCCACTAGCATGTTCTCTAGACGATGGAGTATTACCCTGCCCGTGTATTGTTTCTTCAACAAAAGGCCCGATGGACACCGATTTCTAATCCGACATCAAAGATTGACACAAAAAAAACACCGAATCGTTTGGAAAAAATAAACACCGTAAAACACAACAAATTTGAAAAAAAAAATGAAGCCACAGGGCTATAATTATATTCTACAATACATAATTTCTAAGAATGCTCCTAATATGTTGCAAAGTATATTATTGTTATGTAACACTTTGTTTAATTGATTAACCTAGAAGTTTGGTCTAGTTGGCATACAAACATAATTAAAAACAATACAGCGCAATGACGAGGACAAACTAAAAGATAACCGACTGGACACAGCGCTGATTCCCAACTGAAGATTTATTGTTGAGAGTCAGCGCTGGGGTCCTGTCGGTTACCTTTTACTTTGTCCTCGTCGTTGCGCTCGCTTTTTTTTAAATTATGACTTTGTATAAATTTAACAATATATTACACTCACCTGACTCTGATCAATCACTAGCTCAGTTAACTTGAAGCTCTAGTTCTCATACCCCTTAAAACAACCAAGTAAAGACTGCGTGTTTAGTAAAGCAATGTCTAACCAATACCCAGGTGCACATCACTGAAGCATAATATATTCTATTACATGCATGCGACATGAGTTTTTGTTTTCGTCTTTCGTGCAGATATCTACACGACAATTGTGGCTCCCTTTATAGTAAAAAGCGATCTCGTCGTGGAAAGTTGGAGAAAAGGGGCCGGAGGAATCGCTGATAAATCCTGCGCTTATTATTCTGTTACTGACGTGAAGACAGTAAGAATTGTATTCGAATCAGGGTGGTACACCGAGTTCAATTACACGGAGGATCACAGCAAATGGGCAGTGGCTGTACCTAAGCCCTATTTCTGCTTTTCTTCTCTTAATAGAATGGTAAGTAAACTTACACCCAGAAACAAAAAAAAAAATTACACTAATCAGCAATATGAATTTGCACAGCACCAATACGATTTACCGCGCAGGCGACCTGAGGACCTGCAAATATTTCTAAAAACCCTGAAACGGAAGACAAAACGAAAAGAACAATTTTGTGTTACCCCCTTTTGAGTGTTTGTTATGTCATTAAATTTTTCAGCACGATGAGATGGCACGTTTATTAAGAGAAGTGAGTGGCTGACTATTTCAATATCTCCCGAGAAATTTCGAGTGATGCAAAGTCAGCGGAGATTATACTTCATTCATTAGGTGAAAATAATCGAAAGGCTCTCTTCTTCCTCTCCTTGCACTGTGATATTTCTTTCAGCACTCTTTTGTTCGTATATTAGAAGACATTTCTCAATTGCGCTTTTAAACTCAAAGTAAAAGATATGGTACCATGTTTGCCGGACTTTGAGCCGACGAAAGTCTAGTGACTTTTATACAAAACAATCAATTAGAGGTTGCAGTATTCGTTCAAGACACCGCTACGATATCATACAAGGTTTATAGACGGTCAAATGAGTTTACGAGCACATTAAACACGCGTCTGGCCAATTGCAATATATAATTTTTGTGCAAGCCACTCCAATTAATGGCCAAACACTCTCCGTTTACCCTTTCAGCACTTATGACCCAAGCAAAAAAATCTCCAATCACATGCAGTCTGCCGAAGTTGGCTATTTAACATGCTCAGGGCTTTTCCCATAGATTAGTAGATAAAAAAATGTCAGCGAGCAGAAAACGAACATTGGAAAAAGTCGCCTTCTACTTTTGTTTTCGGTAAAGGACAGCACCCCTTGACGTTGCTAACAGAGCACACTCAAAACATTAAACCTGCAAAACCAAACATGTCGTCCATAACGAAAACTAATGTTTAAAGAAAAGCTTAGATATTAATTTGTGCTTCGGGAACAAATTTTTAGCTAATTACTTTAGCTGGAGAGTTACCCGAAACAGCTTTTAGGATAGTGCTCCTCTTGTTCATGTCATGAACTGCAAAACACAGTTGCTTTATCCCTGCTTGCTTGAAAATTACCCCCCTGTCTTGGCAACAGTCGAATACCTCTCAACAGTACAATGAACTTCATTGAGATCTATTAACATAGGATGAACTCCGTACAGCTCATCTTCACTCGCAACAGAAGCGAAGTTATCACTCTAAAATATTGTTTAGGAAATTTATCTTTTAAGTCTTATAATCCATGAAATATAGTATTTAGGAGGGATTGTCCCGGTTGTTCGGAAGACATTAAACAGTCGTTCCAGCAGTGATGAACCTGTATTTTTATAAATTTCGGGGAAACTATATCGGTGTGTTATGTGACCATGTAGGGCAAGGGGGAAGTTAGAGAGGGGTTGGAAGAGGGAAGGGAAGAGTGATAAACGGAGAAACTGAATGACTGTGTCACATGACCAAGAAGGGGGAAGAGGAGGAAGGGAAAGGCAGTAAGGGGGAGAGACGGAGGGAATGGTGTAGTGATCGGGAGAAAGAGGGGCAGGGGGGGGGAGAGAAGGAAAGGTAGAGAATTGGAGGTAGGTTAGAAGGAGGGGATGGGGAAGATATCCTTGGAGGGGAGAGGGATGATGAAAGTGAATTGGTGTGTAACGCGACGTATATTTCCCCACTAAATTTAGCGCATAAACTAAATTGTTCTATAGTTCACCTGACATCAGGTCGTGTGACGTCAATTTCTCCCGCTAAATTTAGCGGGAAAACTGAATTGATGTTACACTACGTCACTTGTGCCGCTAATTTTAGCGGGACAAATGAATTGACGTATAGATCACTTGGCGTCAATTTTCCCACTTGATGTGTAGCTCACGTGACGTTATGTCGAGTTACGTGAATTTTCACTCGAACTTTAGCGGATACTCCACGTGCGGAGGGACGGACGGCCAAAATTATTTTAGATTGGGCTTTTCGTTGAAAAGCACGACATGCCTTAAAACTCTGGAGAGTCTACTTTCCCACAAAGCACTTGTGAGAGTATATACCCGAATTTTCGAGAAAAAAGAACCGTGTTTTTCGTTCTGTATAAAAAGGCAATGCCTCCCAGAAGGTTCAAACTCCGTAAGAATCTGACACAAGCGGTTGGAATAGAACGCGAAACTTTGAGAACATTACGTTGCCTGCATCAAAAGGTAGCTGAAAAAAGCAAGATTTCTGTGAACCGATGTCCACCTAACACAAATATTTTCAAAACAAAAACTTATAGTGTCAACGCTTTTGGTATCAATATCACTAAAAAACCTCTTGGCAGCAAGAAAGAGAATGTCGTTTTCTTTCTTTGCTGACAAGTTTGTTTCACTGAAGTGGATGCTACAGGCGCTCACAGATACTTTCGTTTGTTTTTGTTTGTTTAGACGAAATTAGGCTAAGGTGGACGTTGGCTCACAGATAACTTTCGTTTTTATCAATAATGCTTCGATGCAGGTAACATCATGTTCTCCAACTTTTGCGTTCTACTCCAACCGCTAGCGTCACATTCTCACGGAGCTCGAGCTTTCTGTGTTGCAAGTTCATTAACTTGGCCAAAAAACACTGCTCTTTTTTTCTCAAAACCTCAGTGTAGTTGCAATTTGCGCGGAAAGCTCAGCGAATGACGATGCTGAAAATATGTCTAGACCTCAGGAAAGAGCTTGCACTGTGGCACTGAGCAAGGTTAAACGTCCTGCTGAAAGCAAAAGTGCAGACTGATTTCGTGGGTCAAAATATATTTTCAGCTTCCTCGTTCACCAAGCTCTCCATAGGTTGCAGCGGTAGGCTCTCTATAAGTGCTTAGGAGAAAAGTATACGCTCCAGATTTTTAAGGATACTTTTCAAGCAGCCAACAATACGAGGCCTGACAATTAAAATGCATATCTAATCTAAAAATAAAACTGAGATCCAGTTTATCGCCGCTCAAAACACGAAAAGAAACAATAATGGCACCTTTTCTTTTAGTTTTGTGTAGCAAACCTTTCAACCCCAAGGTACCACCCGGATAACTTCTGAACTTTAGTAACGTCTTGACCGGATCGCTGATGCTAGGAGACAAGAGTAAAAAGTTGCCGGAATAACAGATCTCGCTGCATACAATTCAGTGGTAGTGTTAAAATCTACCATTATGTCTGGTTGAGAGTTGCGGAGCAGAGCTTCGCCATCCTGAAAAAACACTTTTCCCTTGCTCGAAGTATTCAGGCAGCAGATTTTATTTTAATACCAGAAGGGCTCAGAATAAGGTTCAGTGCGTATTTTACGACTTCGTCTCATGTGAGTTAATACGGGACGAGCTGAAACAGGCAGAGTTTATACTATCAACCCGGATATTTTGGAAGGATCTGGTACAGACCTTCACATATGTGTGGTTTTACGGGTTTTGTGTGAAAGGATAATTGTGTTACTTATAAGTTTTTACCTGTTTCCTCCTGCACCGCCCCCCCCCCCCCCCCCCCCCCCCCGCTTTCCCGCTCGCAGTTTCATCTCGGCCGATTCACGCGGCGGACTGATCCGCAGGCGGGTTGACCACGTGGCGACATATCCGCGGTTCGTCGCCACGTGGTCGACCCGTCTAATGCAATGATGATGCGCAATGATGACACAAGGGAGACGACGAGCAGACGCCAGCGAGGACGAACTGAACCTGTTCGTCTCCGCACAGTGCCGCGAAACTCCAACATCTCACCGTGGCATTGTTGTCCAAGAGAGAAATCGACGTTTTCTACCGCCATAAAGAATCGTACGCTGCTGTTACGTACAGATCGAGACAGAATGCCGTGATAGGCTTCACGAGAAGCGCCAAGAGCTTTACTAACCCAAGGCATGACAGTGACACAGGCACGGCCCTGCTCAAGAAGGCTTCGACACAGAAGCGACGAAGTTCTGTGTCGGCGGAGGCGCGTTTGCAGATGCCTTGACGCACCCCGCGCTAGTTCTTAACACTTATGTACTTACACCAAAGCCGCAAGAAAGGTCTCGCTCGGTGAAAGCCTGATTGGGCGTGCAAGAATTATCGCTGTGTTCTAGACGAGTTTTGACGGACGCTTCTTGACACGGACCTGAAGAAGTAACGGAACCTGCGCTGCGCCAGCCGGACGAAGTTTCTGCAGTTTCGTTCATGCGCAGAACCAAGAATAGCTCGACAAATTGAAGCAACGAACGCACAAAACACAACGGTGCGTCAATTTTGTTTTAATCGTTCACCAAAAAAAAAATAACAACACCATTGTACCGTTGTCAGATTAAACGCGTTTCAAGTCAATCTCCCGCCAAAAATCTGGGAGGGAAAAGACGCTCCCCTTCATATGCCCGCGCGTCCGCGGACGAGGAGTGGATCACAGGAATCGGTGACGTTACGGTCGCGTTGTACACGGTCCGAAGACGAGAATCGCGATTCGGTCCGTCGTGTGAATCGGCTGTTTCTGCCCGGTTTGGCATCACCCCTAGACCTTCCCCGAATGCATGTGGCGAGCGGAAGAGACACAATACGCCATGATGACACTGGACTCTGTTCTAAAATTAATTCGAGCTGCCAACATCCGGCGCTATTTCTGACAGTTTTATTTCAACCTTATAACCCTTCCCCCATCCCCTCCTAAATGTCGGAAGGTCAAAGTGGTGAGAGTGTTCTTTTCAATGTGTTTCAAACAAAAAAATATTAATTAGAAATGGGCAGTGGCGGGACACGTGTCAAGTTTACGGAGCCAACGACTTCGTGTTCATCTTTTTGCAGCAGTATTTTGTTAAGATACGAACGATTAAAGATTCAGAATAAAATAGGGTCGTGCATGACTGGGATGATGAAGCACTGTTTAATGAATCCCATATGGCAACCTGATATTCCGATGAACACAAACATTTATATTTCGGCGAAAGCTTCGTCTCCTCTTGGCGCTTCAGGTGGAATATGTTCGTATATCTGGATGTTATAAAATATATTTATGTACAAAGCTGATTTTGTTTAACTAAATTTTTATAAAACGACACGTGATTTTTTCTTTCTCACCCACAGGTGTCTCAGTTTCATCGAGGTGGAGAAGTAACCTGTATGGAAAACAAAATCCTTGCTGATCTCTTCCACAACAGCATCGCTAATGAGGATGCCTGCAAGAACCGAATAGGAAAACCGAAATCCCGAAAACCATAAGCTGTGCTTCACTTTCATTAGCCTCTAGTGGCAGAGAAAGGAAACCTGCTTGCGGTTCTCAAATTCTCAGAAAACTAAATATAACTGGAATATTATCAAACAAATTCAACTTTTCTCCACTAATTTGATTATTTTGAAACAAGAAACGTCAAGATTAGGAATGTTTACCACCGACCTAACACAAACTAACAAAAAGAGACACGCTTGGCCACCTATATAAGGTACATCCTCAATATTGCACAATACACAAAGGATGCCGCATATTAGGAAATTCGTTCATCTTCGCTTTGCTTAGGGTGATGGCCTCTCATCATTTTGCTAGCAAAGCTTTTGTATATACATATTTTTTGGTGGATGGGAACCAGAATGCAGTAAAAGAGCTCGAAGTTATCTGTACGGAATAGAAATACAAATAAATATCAAGAGTAATTCATATAATTGTGTTGTGTGTTTGTTTGAACAGCGGGATGTTACTCAGCACCAGTTGGCATCTGGTGTCTTTGCTATAGATGAGAAATTAAGCCAGTGCTGTACCACCGCTAACCTGGTGTCTGTGGCGTGCATCATGCAGTAGTAATGCAAGACCTCACGCCGTTACGATGCTCCTCCAGGTCCAAAAGAGCAGGGGTGGGGATTGAATCCCGGATCTCTCGGTTCTTTAGCGCGAACTTTCGGCCCACGTATTACAGCTGTTGTGCGTTAACACACTCTGCCACCAATCCCCCGTGATGTCGAGGATGTACTGGCTGTTTCAAAATGCTATACACGTACTTCGCTATGCACAGACAGTACGGAACTTCCTAGTTGTGCGGCATACGTATGTCTACAAAGAGTTTTTGACAGAAGCAATAAGGCATGTTCACGCGCCGATACTGTATGCATGGCGTTCTTGGGAGTTAAAGTATAAGGTAGATAGGGGCCCTTGTTTGCTGTTGGAGAAGAAATTAGTTGAGGCAGCGAGAATAAATACTTTTATAAGCAGGAAACAGTCTTTATTGTAAGTTTTAAAGCGGTAGCTTTATATTGAAACCTTCCTTGGGCATTGCTTCCTCGTGCTGATGTTGGCCGCAGAGTACATGAGGGAGAGAGAGTACCAGCAAAGGAGCACAGTTGTTGACTTGACCTGACAGCACAGCGTGCCCAATGGCATCGGACCTGGAGTAGTATTTGCGTCTTTGCGTGTGAAGAGGAGGGGGGTTAGCACTGCCCTGACACCCCCCCCCCCCGCCCCCCCCCCCCCTTTCCTCTATTCTCGCTGCATAAAAACTGTGTATTACTAGAATAATATGCTAGGCGCGGAGGCATCGTACGGACATATTGCACGCGCGGGAAAGCTCAGGAAGAGTAGAGAGTTTTACAATTGGTGGCCACAGGGCTGTGGGTCACCCAAGCAGTTTGGGTTGTCATACTGCGCATGTCCAGACGTTCTGAGCATCCTCTGTGCGGCGCCTGAAGCTGCTTGGAGAGCACAGAGTGTTGGGGCCTCCTATTTCAAAACTCTCTAATGATACAATGCCCCTAAAAAAGAAGTGCGTTAATAAAGAAAAACAAGCTAGTTACACATTCACAGTTCCTTTGACACGCGCATTATCTTATATTATTCCAATAGAAAGTGCTGCCTCGTAAACACTCCCCCCCCTTTTTTTTAAAGCGGTATTGCAACTTCATTGGATTGACAAAATTTTAAGGCCAGGCAACTTATTGATAGATTTGTTGCACGTGCACCCGTGTTTCAATATGCGCGTGGGTGTAATGTCCATTGTACAATCACCTGGGAGCCTTGTCAGAAGCTCCGATTTTAACTTCAACTCCTCAAAGTGATCAAATGTAATCTTGACGGTGATTTTGACATGAAAAAATTAGTAGGCGTAGCACTCATCGCCGTCATAGCACCAAATAGCATCCTCTTCTTTTTTTTTTTGCATGCAGTTTTGAATGATCCGGAAAAAGAAATATTTGTTGCTGTGCTTTGGGTATACTTGGTTGCTATCCAAAGCTCGCAGTCACCTGCAATAGAAACAGGTGGGGACATAAAAATTCTCACAAAGAATCCAGAGTTTTTTTTTTTTTATTTTAGTCATTAAGAATAATATGTAAATAAAGTCTATAACGGTTTAGACAGCAGGTAGAAGACAAAAATGAAAGCCGTTTACAACTCCCTGTAACGCAGGATTAGAGCGCAGCTCTTGAGGAAGAGGAGGGGAAGGGTACTGAGGGGAAATATATCATGAAAATAATCCCTGAAGAAGGGGAAACAAGAGGAACAAAGGACAAACACAAATCTCCTAACACAGCTAGGTGACTGCTTTGCATTTAATAGCATTATAATCATAACCTTAAATTGCAAGCTTCACCCTTGTTGGTGTTAGACTGGTGGCGGCTGATAAAACCCGTTTGCTCTACTGACGTCTAACCCCTGATTAGCTCAGTTGGGGGGATTCGTCGTTTAGCTTTCGAAGCGAACGGACGCGTCACTATGAGCTCCGTCGGAGCGGTGTCAACGGCTGCTGATAGCCGTGGCGACAAGGACGAACGATGCAACGAACCTTATCGGATTGTCATGCCCCCGATACCGACAGGCGAGTACCTCCTGAACTCCGTTTTCCTTCATGCCGACATCGGAGCGAGACCATGCAAAATTGAAGACTTCCAGGCCGGACTAGAAAACGCAGGAGTCCTCAAGGAGATAGCCGCGTGCGGGTCATTTCAGATGAACCACGTGTGGCTCGTGAGGCTCAAATCTGCCGCTGCCGAAGAGAAGTTAGCAGCCGCTAAAGCTTTCGAGCTGAAAGGCAGGCGGTGCGTTATCATTGACCCGGACAGGGCAGAAGTGCGTCTCAAGCTGCACTGGATCCCGTTCTACATGCCAGACGACTGTGTGAAAAAAGCCCTGGAGCCCTACGGCAAAGTCGAAGAAGTCTCCAAAGAAACCTGGCACGTAGGTGGATTCGAGGGAGTCCAGTCAACCACAAGGACTGTGAGACTAACCCTGAAAGAGAACGTCACCGTCGAGCGCCTACCTCATCAGCTCCGCCTCTGGCTGCTCGGCGCTGGTTCTTGCACCAGGACGAGCGCCACTCTGCCTTCGCTGCCGCAAGACCGGACGCATACGGAAGGAGTGTCGCGTACCTCGCTCTGAGGGCTGCCGACGTTACGGACACACCCGAAGCGAATGTGCGAAGACGTACGCTGACGCGGCCCACGCGGCCCACGCGAAGGTGGACGACGATCTGGCGGAGCACATCATGGACCAGGACGAGGCGGAAGCGGCGGCGGGAGAAACCGGCAAAACCGACGTCGACCTCGAGCCTCGTGGCCAAGCTGGAACAGCAGCGAGCACCTCAGTCCAACCCCAGAAGCCTCCGTCGAAAACGCAAGCCCCGGTGGTCGTCACTCCGACGCAAGAAGCGGAGGGCAACGAGCCCACTCGTCCCCCGCCACCCCTGAAACCCAAAGGCAAGGATGACGACCTACACCGGGTGCCACTTGACTTTGCCCAGGGCGCGGAATCCGAGAAAGGCAGCGTAGCCATGGAAGTCGTGGCTAGCACCGTCAAGCTGACCGCTTCCGACTGCGGACGCACAGGACGGCGACCAATCTAAGGGACTTCAGCAGACGGTTCAGGACAGGTGGAAGGTGGTGATGACCAAGAGAGGCAGGCACCACGGGGGACCTCAGGCCCTAGCCTCGGCAACCCTCAAGACAAGCCTCGACAACACCCGCGGTGAAGCCTCCGCCAAGGAGAGCTCCGCTTTGTGAATGAGGTTTTTTTGTTTTTTTTCTTGTGTTCTTTTTACTTGTCAGACAGACACCATCGCTGCACGATCTTGCCTTTCTTTGTAACTTTCGCTAAATGGCCCTCAGTTTCGCAACCCTCAATGTTCGAGGATTAAACTCGAGGAAGATACGATATCAGCTGCAGCGCTTGTTATCTGACGCGAAGCCGGATTTTTTTGCTGTGCAGGAGACGAAAATGGAAAATGATAACGGCATTGCTGTTGCGATAAAACCATTTCTTTTTCATTACGAAGTATGCGTTAGCCACGCGGTAGGTTTTTCGGCGGCATGTTTTCTTTTCTTGAAAAAGTCTGTTAACCTTTCCGATCTGCATGTGACTGTAGATGAACAGGGTCGTTTTATTTCGTGCGATTTTATTTTAGCAAATGTTCAGTGGCGGGTTATTTGCGTCTATGCCCCAAATAATGCAGCAGACAGAGAACAGTTTTTCCAGTTTCTAACCAGCTACGTAGAGTGCGACAGATCAGTTGTATTGATGGGGGATTTCAACTGCGTTTGCGATGAACGCGACAAGTCCTCTCACACCAGAATAAGTGACAATAGCGTGAACCTTTTGAAAAATATGATAGTCTCCTGTGGCCTAGATGACGTGGGCACCTCGTGTGCCCCACCGCACTGCTTGAAATACACCCATTTCCAAGCGTCCTCCCATGCCCGTCTTGACCGCATCCATTTATACTGCGACATGTTACAGCAGGTACATAAATATGACGTCCAACCCCTTTTTTTCACAGACCACTGCCTTGAAACCGTTAAAATAGGGAAAAAGGAAAGCGCAGCCTCAAAGTTTCAATGGCACCTCTGGAAAATGAACAGAACTCTACTGAAGGATGAACAGTTTATTGGCACTGTTACCGAACTGTTGCAGCGTATGAGCGAAACGAGGGGGGAACTAAACGAGGCGTGGGAGCAATTTAAAGAGGAAGTTAAATTAGCAGCGATTGAAAGATCCAGCAACATTCAGTTCCAACACAGAGAGCGCGAAAAACATCTAAAACGTAACCTAGATGACTTCACAGATTAGAAAACCAAAGCCCTGGAACAAGCATGGGTGATATTCGGAACATTAAAGCAGAACAAAAAATTATACCTAGAGAAGTACAGAGGAGCTGTAATACGCTCACGGTCTGAGAAATATCTATTGGGAGAACAACCCACCAAGCGGGCTTTGTCCGGCGAAAAGAGGTACGCTTTGGCGAAAG